TGCAGGGGCTACACCCTCTGCCGGGGGGTGCTCTGCCCCAGGTTTATTTCTTTAGTTCTTCCTTGCTTTCTTTCTTTTTTAAATATTTTATTTATTTCTTCTTAGGGAGAGAAATATCCACGTGGGGTTGCCTCTCGTGCACCCCCTGCTGGGGACTTGGCCCCGCAACCCAGGCCTGTGCCATGACTGGGAATCGAACCAGCGACCCTTTGGTTCGCAGGCCAGTGCTCAATCCACTGAGACACGCCAGCCAGGGCTTTGGCCCCGACTTCTGCGTGGCTGCTTCCTGTCCCTCCTTTGGGTCTTTCCGCAGATGTCATCTCACAGAGACGTCCCACTTCAATGGCCTCCCCCTCCCCGCCAGGGGCACCCACTCTCTTCTCTTCTCTTCTCCCCTGGGAGTGCGCCCCGCCATGAACGGCGCTGGGCGGCAGAAATGCAGAGGGAGCCCCCTATGCCATTAAAAAAGCTTTTAGTAGCTGGTTTTAAAAAATAAAAAAGAAACAGGCAAAATTAATTTTCGTAGGGTATTTTATCTCACCCGGCAGATCCGATTTCAACCTGTAATCCATACAAAATATTGAGCTATTTTATGCTCTTTCTTTTACATTAACTTTGAGACCGGGCGTGTACAGGACACAGACCTGCTACCTGGGATGGGCACCCAGCAGGCATGCCTGGCAAGTGGCTGCCAGGTGGCGCAGTGCAGCTCTGACATGTTATAAAACTCACGTCGGTGATTGTATGCAGTTGCTCTTGCTCGGCTGCCGGAATGTAAGGTCAGCCAGGCCCGGAGCTTTGCTGAGCTCGCCGCCGCCGGGCCCCGCACCCAGCTCAGCGCCTGGCACACAAGGGGCTCAAAGCATCGTCTGCATGAATCAAACAAGCGAACGTGGTCTCCAGGTCTGCCCTCGCCCGAGCTGGCACCTCGGTGGCAGATGCGGTCACAGGCGGCATTTCCTCTTCCTCATTGTCTTTGCCTTCACCCCTGGCCTTTCTGTCTGTCCTCTCTCCTTCTACTCACTTCCCCTTTCCCCCCCTCTCCTTGTGTTCCTTTTCCACAGCAAAGAGAGCAGTGATTTATGTCAGGCCCCAGAGCCAAGCGACTTTGGTCTAAGTGCCCTCTCTGCCACTGGCCGGCTATGGCTCTCTTGAATGAAGACATGTCACTTCCATGCAAGGCGCCTGTTTGTTGCCTGCAGGGCCGATAGCAGCTCTTCCCGCCTGGGATGGGGTGAGGCGCCCGGGACTTCTCCCATCTCACTCGGCACCGTCACTAGGTGTGTGACCAGGATTAACTCATTTAATCCTCGTGACGCCCCCAGGAGGTGCCTGGTTGAGTTCATCCCTGTTGCGTAGGTTAGGGGGCTCGGGCACAGGGTGACTAAGCAGCTTACACAAGGCTGCCCAGCCCCGCAGCCTGGCTGCTCATGCAGGTTCTTGGCCACTGGGTTCTGGTAGCTACTGCGCAACAATACCTGTTGCTCAGGACCACCCGTGTGCCAGGCGCCGTTCTGGGACCAGCAATGGACAGAAGAGGCAGCTTTCTGGTCTCGCGAGGTTTTTTCATTCTAGAGGGGAAGGGACCAATGAAACACCCCCCCCCCCCCCGCGCGCACGATGCAGCCGGTGGGGTGGTGGTTAGCGCTAAGGAGAAGAATAAAGCCGGGCAGGGAAGCAGAGAGGAGTGCGGGGTGTGGCTGCCACTGAAAAAGCTCAGAGGAAGGAAGTTCTTGAAGAGAAGGTGACGTTCGAGTGAGGCCTTGAAGGGAAGGGGAGTGAACGGTCTGAGAGGAGAGCGGTCCAGCAGAGGGACCAGTGAGGGCCAAGGCCCTGCGGCAGGAGCCAGGCTGCAGGTTGAGGGACCCCCGGGGTCGGGGGGACCGGAGGGGGCAGGGGGGCGGGGAACAGGGGGTCAGGACGTGAGGGTGGGCCGTGTGGGCTGTGGTGAGGGCTTTGGTTTTTAGTCTAAGGAAGGAGCCAAAGGAAAGCACTGGTTTTGTTTGGGGTTTGTTTGTTTGTTTTGTAAATAGTATCCTTATCGACAAAGAATTCATGGACATACAACTCACTCAGTTAAAGCATACAATTTGGCGGATCTTAGTCTATTCACAGAGTTGGGTACCCACCACCACAGTCAGTTTTAGAACATTTTTAGCACCCCCCAAAGATGCCTTGTGCCCCTAGGAGTCACTCCTGGTCCGCCACCCCCGCCCCGCCGCACGGGCCTGTCCCACACGCATCCTGGGAGGGGCCTTTTGCGCAGGGCGCCCCCTCCCTCAGCAGCGCGTCTCCCGGGTCCCTCCGCGTCGGCCCTTCGCCCCTTTCGCGGCTGCGTAGCATCCCATCGTGTGTTGCTCCCTGTTCCACCTACCTTCTCATCCACGGGTGCACATTTGGGCCGTTTCTACCTTTCGGCTGCTGTGAACAGTGCTGCCACGAGCACTCACGGGCCCGTTTTTGTGTGGACATAGTTTTTGCGTCTCTTTTACCGACCTTGGTCGGACCTGCCGCGCCTGCTGGGAGCTCTGGGCCTTGCCTCTGGAGGGGCTCTTTCCTGGACTGTTTCCCACACTTGGCATCCCGCCGGCAGCGGGGAGGGTCCCGACCCTGCCACCCTTGGCCAGCACTCGCCGCGCGTCTCTGGCCCTGGCGGGGCTTTGAGCCGGGGAAGGGCGCCCTCCACTTGGCTGCCGCAGGATCCCTCTGACATCGGTGGCCAGAGTACCTCGCTATCACGGATCTCCCTTTCTCTTCTGCACCCTCGTCCTTCCTCCTGGCGGCAAGGCCTCTCTCTGAGAAACATGACGAAGCCTCCCCCTCCCGAGGCTGCCCCGCCCCCCATCGGGACTGCCTCCTCTCCGGGAGGTCACGGGTGGTCATGTGTGTCTCACATCCTTTCTTCTCGGCCCCTCTCTCTTGTCAGGTGACAGTGTGGCGTGATATGAGGGCACTCCTGCCGCGGCCTTGGGGCTGTCTTGGGTAAGCACCACGCACATTTGGACCTTGAAGACTTAGCAATAAATAAAAGTTAGATTGGGCGAGCCGGTCAAGGCGAGCTAGTCCTTGCTGACGGAGGAGCGCTCAGGACGCAGGGGGCGTCGGTGCCAGGGCGGCGTCCAGATTTTAGTTAACGCCCAAGAACTATGAAAGTTAAAAAAAAAAAAAAGCAATAAATAAAGGAAGCAGTCCCTGTAGCTGATAACTCTTGAGGGCCTTAAGGAATCCAATGGAGTAAATTAATCAATGAGTTACTTGATTAATTAATGGATTAGTGAGCTCATTGATGGCTTCAAGTCTTCAGCGCGTGGGGCCTCGGTGCTTCGGACTGGCGCTGCCGCGGTGTCCCATCCCCCGGAAACCTCAGAACAGCCCTCAGAGAGGAGCCCTTATCGGTCCCTGGGGTGGGAACCCCTGGACTTCTTGGCATCGGTTCCCGGCCGGCGCCACGCTTGCCTAGCCGCCCTGATCAAGGTCAGGGTGGGCCCCGTTCCTGGCACCCTGGGCAAGGCCGGGTGTCCGAGGGGGAAGACCGTCCCAAGCAAGGCTCACTGGCCACCCTGTAGCAGGCGCTCCACAAACACTGACTGCTTTGGGCCGGGCCCGGCCGGCTAAGGACCGACCCTGGGAGAAAGTTGCTTCCTTCCAAGCTCGCATAAGCATTTTGAAGGCCTTGCTCTGAGCTCTCAGCAACTGGCCTGCCTTCGCCAGGCATTGGGGACGCAGCCCTCCCAGCCCCAAGTGGCCCAGGAGTCCCTTGCCCTCCCAGTAGCCCCGCCCAGGGAATGAGAGGACTGCGGATGGGGGCGCAGGCACGTGGAGGCAGGCCCGGTGGAGGCCGGCAGGGGGCCCCGCGCCCACCTGCGTTCACTCCTTGGAGCGCTTACTATCTGCAATTACTCCTTTGCTCGCTTTCGCCTCTTCATCAGAACACGGAAATGTAGATTTGGGGACGTCACCTCCCTGTGCCCGTTCTCTTGTCTGCCCAGTGGAACCGTGGTGTGTAAGGCCCTTAGCCCAGCATCCAGGACCCAGGAGGCTCCTGGTTGGTTTGTTCTGTTCACCGTGGGCCAGCTTCCCTTCCATGCCGTGTTCTAGCTGCGAGGACAGGGCACGGGGCCAGCTTCTGCCCGCAGCATTCTAGCTGGGGGCCATGGTCCCAACAGGCCGCGTGGAGCTGGGCGATAAGGCCGAGGGGGGTGGGCCGGGACAGCTGGCGCTCTTTTATTTTACGCAGGGCAGCGGGGGAGGCCTTGCTGATAAGGTGGCCTGGCCGTCCTGAAGGAAGGAGCCAGGCAGATATCTGGGGGAGCAGAATTTCAAGTCCAGGGCATGCGAGACTCTGAGGCAGGAGTCCTGGCCTGTGCCAGGAAGGGTGAGGCTGCTATAGACTGTGTGTGTGTGTGTGTGTGTGTGTGTGTGTGTGTGTGTGTGTCTGTTGGGGGCAGTGCAGTGATGAGGTTGCAGAGGCCCCGGAGGGGGCCCAGGTTGGGAAACTCCTACTAAGAGTGAACCGTGATGACGACGGTCAGGCAGGGGAAGTAGGAGGGGAGGAGGGGCCAGGGCGCAGGAGCGGGAAGGAGGAGGTGAAGGGTGACTGGATGGTGCGGAGGAAGGTGGCAGGGGAGGGAGGAACAGGGAGCGGGGGCGCGAGGCGGCAGGGAGGGACCCGAGGGAGAAGGGCGCCCGGCCCAGCTGGCGCCCTGGCACGCGGACGTGGGCCTCCGCGGCTCCTCCACCACCCGCGCAAACGGAAGAGAGGGCGTGGCGGCCCCGCCCCTCGGACCATCCTAACCCCGCCCCCGGCCCCTCCCCGGCGGTATGTCCCGCCCCCTTCCCTCCCCGCAGGGTCCAGTTGCTGGTCTCCGGGGGCGGTCCAGCAGCGCACTCCATGGCGCATAAAACCGCTGGCCACCTGCCGCACTGTTCCTCCGTGTGCTGCCGTCCGAGGCCCGCCGTTGCGCTGCGGCTCGCGTCCCCGGAGTCGCCGCCGCCGCCGCCTCTGTCGCTTCTGCCCCCGGCCCCGTCCGCTTCAGGCGCGGAGCCCCGGGCGCGCCGCGTGGGCACCCGGGCGCACAGACATGGGCAGACGCGCCAGAGCGCGCTGGGCGGTCGCGGCGCTGGGCTGTGCGGGGCTGCTGTGCGCTGTGCTGGGCGCCGTCATGATCGTGGCGGTGCCTTCCATCATCAAGCAGCAGGTCCACAAGGTGAGTGAAGGGGTAGGCGAAGGGCCTGGCCGCGGGCTGGAGGGCAGGGGCCCCCCCGCCGCCCCCGCCAGGAGCACAGCAGGGGGCCGCTGCCCCCTCCCCAGTCCCGCGCTAACCAGGCTGAGGTTGGCAGCCAAGGGCAGCATCTCGCGGCTTCGCTGGAGGCCAGCGTTGTGGAGGCCTGAATGACAGACCGCCCCGACCATGACCTCACCCTCAGGGGTCGGGGCCCTGACCTCAGGGGTCTGCCTCCGGGCCTGCCCTGGAGCGTGGCCACGCTGTGGTACCGGCCCAGGACTCCAGGAGCGCCCTTGCACGCCTGCGGCTGGACGTGCTAAAACTAGGGCTTGCCCTTTGCCTGTTTCCTGTGAGCCCACGAGGGCAGAAGCCCAGCATTCATGTGCTTCTGAGAAACTCCCATGGGTGCCCAGGCCCAGCAGGTGCTTGGCGGGGCTGCGCTGTCCCCCCACGCTGCCTTCCTGACGCAGGCTGGAAAGGATAAGCCGCTTTTCTCCCCAGATTCACGCAGAGGCCGGCACAAGCCCAAGGTTCAGTAAGTAGGGTCCTTGGAGAGCCTACAGCCGGAGGGCTCGCCTCTGATCAGAACCTTACTTGCACAATACCGTCCTGATTTTAGCCAGGGGGACAAAGGAAGGCGGCTGGTGGCCTTCAGACTGTTAGATTCCGCCCCGGGGTCTGGGCCACGACCAGTCTGAATGAGCCTGAAGCCGCGCAGGACTGGGGACCGCAGCCGCTTTTGCGCTGCAGTCCGTTCAGAACTCTGAAGGCAGTGCCAGCGCCTGCAGGGCGGGAGGGGACACCGAGGCTCACCTTTGCTCAGGGCCCAGCCGGACACGGAGCTGCAACAGAGTGGATACTGTCGCTTGCTGGCCGACTTCTCTTTTCCCCTTAGCCTGCCACTTTGGGTGAGTTTCTGGAGAAGGGAGACTAGCCCGCCTGCCCTGTCTGCACCCCGCACCCCACGCAGCGGGACTGGGAGATGAATGAATGAGCGAGGGAGGGAGGGAGCGAGGCCTCCCTCAGCCGAGCCCTGCCTGCCCCTTCTTGGGACCCAGCCGGCTTCAAAGATGGGGCAAAGGCAGGCTTTCCTCAAGGTCTCAGGGGCAGGGCTGTCTGAGCAAGCTGTTTCAGCTGTAGTGTCTTTACTCATTTACTTATTTGGTTTTCAGACCTTGTCCGCTTACGTCCTGTGGTCTGACTGCATGGGGAGCCCTCTGATGAACCTGAGCACTGAGTTCCTCTTCGTTTTTGTTTTTTGTTTTTTCCACTCTGGGAATGGCGACGGGGAAAACTAGTGTGGTGAGACCTCAGAGCACAGAGTTGTCCTTTCTCTCCTACGGTGGCCAAGGAGGCGTCTGTCTGTCTGTGTGTCTGTTACCCTTTTCAAAGCAGCTGCCAGAGCTTCATCTCGGGGGATGCCCGCCGAGTCCACTGTTTCCGACCCGCGCGCACTCAGGCGGCGGCGGTGCGGATGGCGAGCCTCTGGCTGTGGGGCTGAGGGGTGGGTGGGAGTGACGGCCCGTGAAGACACTTGTCAGCTCGATCCTTCCTGGCCTCATTTCAGGCTTTTATTCCACGGCTGGGGAGCAGGTTACGGATGTCAGCTCCCTGGGTGTGTGCACATGTGCGTCTACGTGTGTGTACGCACATACCGCCCAATTCCCCACTCCCACTCTGGGCTTCTAAAGAGGACAATGCCATCGTCCTCAGCTGTCCCGAAGGTTGGGTTTCTGGCCTTGAAGTTGAGGGAGAGCCATCCTGCATCCTGCGTGACTGTCTCCAAGGCGATTGGTTTGGGGCCCAGTGGCGTGAAGGCAGGAAGGCAGGCCCAGCCCCTCGGAGCCACTTCTTGGACAGCCCCCGTGTCCAGGGAGGAAGGATACCAGTGTTGTGGGCGCCGAGCGGGTGGGCCGCTCAGAGAGGGAGGGGCCGCCCGCCGGTGTTTTCTCTGGCTACACACGCCCATGTGCAACTTGAATGGGAGGCCTGTGCTTTGATTTTTATGTTTTGATGTTTTCTGGCTACTTTAAAAAAAATGTCAAGTGGAGGAAAAAAAGAGAGAAAGTTTCCCCTGTTTTGTTCCCCTCCTCAGGTAGTACCTCCGTTGTGGGCATGTCTCTTTCTAGACCTTTACCCATGTGTAACATCATGAGCGCTTATTTATACACATTAATATGCCCAGTTTTACATCAGTTGAACTATACTGTGTACAAATATCCTGCAGCTTGGTTTTTCATTCACTGAGACATCTTGAAGCTTTTTTCTATGTCAAAATGTAAAAATCTATCACAGTTTTTTTTTTTTTTTCACTGCTTCTTGGTATTCGTTTGAATGGGCAAACACTTGATTATTTAACTGTTTGTCTATTGCCTGATCATTTTCTTTGTCACAAACAACCAGTACAGTTTGGATTTTTACTTCCACCAGCAGTGTGAAAGTAGCCTCTTCCCCACGACGCTGGAGAGTACCCACTTCTTATAGTCACGTGAATTTTGGTTGCTCTGAAGGGTTTGATGTACATTTGCGAGGTGGCGCATGGGGTTGAGTAGGGCTGTATGGCTTTGCCACCCCGGTCGGTTTCCAGAGCCCAGCGTGGCCGACCCCTCTGGGCTGTGTTTCCGGTGGGGGACCTCGGGCTGCTTACTTCACTTGTTAGACAGGGACGAATCTCGTTTGCCTCCTGGCAAACTACCTGTTAAATGAAGTACAAAGGCAAGTATGAGTGTGTTGAAATGTCCTGGATGCACCTAGTTTCTCATTTGAATCCGACCGCAGCCTTGTGAAACAGGTGGAGGTGGTGGTATTATTCCTTCCTGCAGATGAGGAAACTGAGGCAGAGCAAAGGTCAGGAGCTTGCCGGCGTTGACACAGCTGTGGCGGTGTTAGACAGGAACCCTGATCACCAGATCGGGATCAGAGGAAGCAAAGCAGGAGCTCTTCATTTGATGGGTTTCTCAGCAAAAAGCAGAACGGAGGAACGAGATCTATACATCTTAGCACGAATGGGCCTCAGAAACACCTGCCTAATTGAGAAAAGCTCTGGTACTATTTATGTTTACGTTTTCTTTTAAATAACTCCACACAACAGTATTTTGTATTTTCAATGGGTTAACATTGGTACCTGTTACATACAGCTCAGAGAAGAGTGTGGAAGGGTGCGCACCAGACCGACAAGAGTGGTCCCTCTGGAGGAGGGGAGGGAAGGGGCCGGCGATGTGGCCCAGGTAAACTTGTGCTGCACCTGTAACGCTCCTGCTTTTTTCTCTTAAACAAAGAGAGTGTTTTCATGTGTTATGCGTTTAATTAAAAATGAGAAGTGAATTCATAGCTCTCCCCCGAAAAGGACCTCATCGACAAGCCCCAAATATAGGAGGCAGCAGCGCGGCCTTGTGTCCCCAGGTCTCCAGGAGGAGCTGCGGGAGGAAGTGAGACTCACCCCCCCCGCCCCTCGCCCCTGCGAGGACTGGATGAGGGGTGTCCACACCGAACAGCCCAAGACATAACCCGGTGCTGCTGTGTGTCAGGCAGTGCTCACAGGCTCTGTGAGCACCGTTTCCTTCAGCCCTGGGAAAATTCTGTGGCAAATGTCTTCTCATCATTGACCTTTGGGAAGGAGCTTAAGATAGCCACTTGCCACAGGTGACCTTGCGGGTGTGTGCAGGCCTGTGTGCGCAAGCCTGGGTGCGACAGACACCGGGGGCAGACCCAGGGAGGACGAGGCTTTTGTCTCCACACCTAGAGCTGAGCCTGCGCCTCTATTTGAGCGGATGCGGAAAGCACAGTCCGGGTCCCTGGGGGTACGGGTTTGAGTTGCTGCGTGTCTCTGGGCCCCAGGGGAGGGGGCCCTGCCGCCGGGCCCCTGTGTGCGGTCACGGGCCTTGTGCCCCTTCTCGTGCCCGGGAGGGCAGCTGTGTCCCCCCGCCCCCCGCCGTCTTTAACGGGGAGTTCTGGTCGGAATTAGGTGTGGGCACTTTGTCCACACTTTGGCCAGTTGCTAAGGGCTTCCCCTGCCTGTTTCCCCGTCTCAGTGAGTGACACCTCCGTTTGCTCCTCCACATACAGAGGCGAATGCCTTGGGTTGATCGGACTGAACACCTTCTTCCAATACCCTTGTACCTGGTCCACCAGCAAATTCTTTTGGCTTCACATTCAGGACAAACAGACTCCAGCCCCTTCCCCGCGGCTCCAGCCCCTCCCCTCCTGCTGCTGACACGCGTGCAGCAGTCTCTGGTCTCCAGGCACAGCCGGGGGATCTCCTTACGACACCCATCAGATTACGCGCCCTTTGTTCACGTTCCCCACCTCCCTCCGAGTGAACACTGAAGTCCTTTCAGTGGCCCGAAGGCCCCCACAACCTGGGGCCCCATCGGCCCACCTGCTCACCCTCTATGCCCCTCTCCTGGATGGTCCTTGAGCCCATCAAGCCTGGCCCTGCCTCGGAGTCTCTGGCTTGCTTGCCCCTCTGCCCGGGAGGCTCATCCCCAGGTATCTGTATAGCTTGCCCCTTATTTCCCTAAAATCACCCCCATTATATGTTGATTTGTGGGCTCGCTCTCTCCCCTGTGGGCCGGGAGCCAGCTGGGACAGAGGCTGTGCTGTCGCCATCGCTGTGCGGTCCCTGAGGGCCAGGCGGGGGCTCACCGTAGGGTGGCAGAGCGAACAGAGTCGGGACCGTGGGGTCAGGTTGTTTCCTTACCTTCACCCCGCTCCCAGCCCAGCTTGGGTTCTATTTTCGCCACCTCCGTCCCCGCCCAGCCGCGCCCGCCTCTGCCGCCTGTGCCCTTTGGCAGCTCTCTGCCCATCAGTTACGGGTGAGGGCTGATGGTAGATAACAGTAATGGGTGCTGATTAAGTCAGGCGTTGAGTCTTTTCCCTGTGTTCACTCCTGCTTAGCATATGAACAGCTGCTGTTTGTTGTCTGCATTTTACTGAGGGAAAGGGAAGCAAAAGTCACTTGCCGCAGGCAGTGCAGCCGAAGG